CAACAGCTTTTGGTGCGGACTGATTCGGTTGATGCCCGAGTCCGGCTCGCAGTTGACCGACTGGGATACGCCCGGCGCCTGTTCCAAGTGGGACCTGCTGAGCTTCACCAAATTTTGCATTTGGAGAAGGCACACTGTCAAACTTCTTGGATTGATGGTTTGGTTGCTGACCTCCAATGGGTGCGCGAGATTGTGCCGCAAGCACTCCCACACTTTGAGGGGACTGACCTGACCGCAGTCATCGATTATTGGCAGCAAGAGGGCATCCCGTGGAAGAGCCATTTGAAACGAGTGGTGAAGAAACACAAGCTCCAGGAGGAGATGATGTCTGAGGTCCATATGGCTCATGATACCATTTTGAGGACTCTCCGACAAGCTGGAGCCACATTTGTGCCTGATAGTGATCAGGTTTTTGGACATCCGCGAGCGGCATCATCGTTTGATTGCACATGTGGTCGTAGCTTCAGTACGCCGCAGGGGCTGGCACTCCATCGAAGGAAGGTTCATGGGATCCATGCACCGGAGCATGCCTTTGTCACTGGCGCGACCTGCCCGGCCTGCTTACAATACTTTTGGAGCAGCAACCGTTTGGCGATGCATCTTTCCTATATGCCACGTGGAGGAGAAGTGAATCAGTGCTTTGACTATTTATCGCGCATGGGCTTCCAGGCTCCTTTTGAGGCACAGTGCCTACCTCCGGCCCTGAAGGGAGCAGTGAGGTTGGATGCATTGAGAGCGGAAGGGCCACTTCGGCCGTTGGTACCATATCAGCAGGAATTGCTGGAACACATCGAGCAGGAGTTGGACGCCCACTACAAGCACCTCATTCCACAATGCGTGCCTGAGGATCCTGTGGATGCCGGACTTCGTCTGGGCGACACTTTGACGACAGGTACGCGCAAGTGGGTGCAGGCCTTTTGTGCGCGGCAGGCAGAGCACTTACCAGATCTTATTGATTGGTGGTTTGGTTGTCTGGCGACCTTTGGCACTGACTTCGAGGATTGGGCAGCGGAGACCTTTGTAGCGTGGGGCGAGCATTGCCTATGTCTCCGACAGCGCTATGGATGGTGAGGTTGAGTATGTCTTGGACGAGGCCTACAGCGAGATGGTGGATCTCCTTCCGTGTACTTTGACAAGGAGAAAGATTGGCGCCTTGCTCCAACGACAGCGCAGTCTGCAGGCCGAACTTGCGGCACCTTTGCAGCCTCATCGACCGGTCCGTCGCGGCACAGCAAACCCAAAAGAACGTTCTGCCACAAGACATCGGGTGCCTAGCCTTTCTCCGCGCAGGGAAGTTGGCAGTCACTCTTTCGCTCTATTGCTTGGCATGTTTTGCCTGAAGATCGCGGCATTCCTTTGTTGTCTGCGCCAGGGGAACGCCCTTGCCTCCTGGTAGTGCACCTGTTCTCTGGAAGGAGAAGAGTCGGGGACTTCCACTGGCATTTGCAGCACATGGGAGACACTATGGGCGTGACATTTGTGATCTTATCCATGGACACTGCCGTGTCCCCTTTTTGGGGGGACCTACATCGTTCATCTCCATCTTGGCGGTTCCTTGCACGGTGTTACAGTGCCGGCCTTGTAGCTGGCACATTGGCCGGCACACCGTGCGAGACTTTTTCAGAAGCTCGTTTTACGGAACCCCCCGAGGGACTATGTGTTCGATGGCCCAGACCGGTGAGGTCCGCGGAGCTGCTATACGGCCTCCCAGGATTGACCCTCCGTGAGTTGAGGCAGGTCCAGCTCGGCTCGAACTTTTCCTTGCAGGGGCTTGAGACGTTGAGTTCTCATCTGGCGATGGGAGGTTTATTCCTATCGGAGCACCCGGGAGTTCCACTACGACCAGAACGACCTTCAACATGGCGCGCGGCCATCACGGAGCTCTTGCGGAATCATCCAGATGTGCACCTTTCTCACATCAAGCAATTTGAGTTTGGAGCAGAGGCAGTGAAGCCCACCGGACTTCTGGCATGCAGAATGCCGCGACTTCTACGCATCCTGCGAAGCCTAGCCATGCCGAATGCGACGAAGCCTAGTGAGGTAGCAATAGGTGTCGGCCCGGATGGGGCATTTAGGACTGCCAAATTAAAAGAGTATCCACCTCTTTTATGTGAAGGCTTTGCTCGAGCATTTTGTGAGCATTTCCGCTCCGCTATCCGAGCTGGCCATGTCCGATTTTTGCCAGCGTGGGAAACCACTTTTGGTGACCTGAAGGAATGGGTGACGGGCGCGGCAGACGCAAGTGCCGCCATTCGAGCCAATGCAGCTTGGATGCCCGATCACCAGCCCAGGCACACATAGCTGGCATGTCTTTTGTACCCTTAATTCGAGAATTGTGCATACGCAGCAAGGGGATAGACCCTTTCGACCAGGCAAATTGGCAAAAAAAAATAAGCGCGTGGATGGAAACCGTGGATCTTGGGGATGGTTTATTGGGATGATCTTCCGATCTTCCGGATACGTTGGTGGTTCACTTTGAAAACCATCCCCTTAAATGGTGTGTTTATCGTCCTGTTTACCATTTAAACAGTGTATATAGCATCCCAGTATATGGGATAGTATCCATATAGTGTAAATGGTAAATAAATCCTGTTTACCATTTAAAATGGGCGTATATGTTTATAGCATCCAGTGTATTGTGTTTGTTTTGACCAAATATGAGGGTTCTTGACCAACGTTGATAGCGCTGGCTGCCGTTTATTCTGGGTGGATCTTTGGACAAAGATGGGGCATTCTCAACAATAAAACTGGGGATGTCTGGCTGACGAAGGTGTAACTCCAGAAGTTTCACCAAGATTGTACCCTCTGGTAAACATACAAAAAACTATTGAAAATGGCCATTGAAATAGTGGATTTACCCATTAAAAATGGTGATTTTCCATAGTTATGTTAGTTTACCAGAGGGTAACTCCCAAAATTCTGGATGTTGGTTGAACTTTCTGATTGTCCAAGAGGAATGGTTGTTATATCCGTGAAGCGCCGATGTCCCTTGACAAAAGGGGAGGGGAAATCCGCATTTCTCACATCTGTTTTGGGACATCATAGGGTAGGTCGCCCCAGATTTTCTGGAAGACACTAGAAAAATGGATACCGTCTGGCCATCAAACATGGCTTTCTGGAAAATCACCCATTTTCCCAGAAAAACCTCCGTTTGGGTTGGGGATTTCCCAACCAGCCACGCTTGATTTCTGGAGGCTGATCCTAATTGAGTTGGTTATATACATATATATATATATATACACGATTATATCCCAACGTATCTTCAATATATATATATACTGTTATATATATATAATGTTATATATATATACATATTATATATCATATCTATCTGTAGACATTTTTTATAGCCATGATTAATTCCCATGGTTGTTGGGTAAATCAGTGAGAAAAGCCTTTTTCCTCCTCTTTTTTGCCTGGTTGAAGCCCAGAATTGGGCATGGGCTGAAGCTTAAAACCCATCCATCATGGTTGGACAGCCAAGGCTGTCGCAGCTGCTGGCGAAGAAAGTGAGGCGTGAGTTGATCGTGACGAAAGATGTCGATTTCATCAACCACTTGTGGTGGTTTTGATCAAACAAAAACTTCGGATTTCACCGAGGGGATTTTTCGGCCACAAACATGGGTGATTTGTTCAGATTCTAGCCTCTGGTAAACGTTTACAGTTTGCGAACTGGAGAATCACCATCTTTATAAGTTCGGTAAATCAACTATTTCTATGTGCCATCTTTAATAGCTATGTAACAAATTACCAGAGGTTAATCATTATCATGTATTAGTGATATAATCAAAATCAATTATTATTGTCATTCTCATCATTACCATTATAATTGTACCCACAGACGCTGTGTGTTGCCCAGACATCAACATTTTTAGGATGTCGTGTTGTTCTCATATATGATAGGAGAGATTGCAGAAAAAAACCTGGTTTAGGATTCAATGTTTTCAGGGCTTAGGAAATCTCAAAACACTGGCCAAACACGCAGGTGTTTGAGCATGTTGAAGGATCATGTGAAAAAACGCCATTTGAATGTTCCGGACAACACACAGCGCTTGGCCGTTATTATACTATTATCATTAGTTGGGGAAAACAATGGGCTGCTGTTGATGTTTTCCATCCCAATCTCTGATAGTCTTTGACGCCAGGTTGCAGAGCTACTGCCGGGGCCTAACACGGTAGAGGTGTGCAGGACAGCAATTATTTCACACGTGGGTCTGTGTGAAAATCGTGTGTATAATTGTGTATATATATATATAGTATCCCCACATGGCCATTCCAACAGCGATGATGATGATGATGATGGTGATGATGATGATGATGATGGTGATGATGATGATTGATGATGATGATGATGATTGATGATGATGATGATGATGATGATGATGATGATAAACCATGAATGCATAAATTGGGGTATCCCATTTTTCCAAGGCCACGTTTTTTGGCTGGATTCTCAAGCCACTCCATCGAGGGAGGCCCAGCTGAGGCTTTCCTTTGGCGCGCGTTGGGAAGCCAATGTGGCGGGAATTCGTCCTGGTGTAAATATCCTGTTTTGATACCAGAAAATGACTGAAACATTCGATTCTTGCTATTCGAACAGTTTGGATAGCCGGATATCATATACAGATATTTTGTCAAACTGTTTTAAACTGAAATATGTAGTTATTTGGTCATTGAACTGCTGTTGCTGTTGGACAACTTTGGATCGCTGCAATCATTGAACGGCATTTGTAACTGCATCTGTGCATGTCGAACTTCAAAGCTCTAAATACTTGCTTCACCCCTGAATGATAAAATGATTTCTCAGCATATTCCCACCACTGCTAGTTTCAAATACGTGTCATTTTCCAACATATTTACAACCAAGAGGTGGCGCGCCCCTCAGTTATGTTTTTTTGGTTTATGTTCAGAGAATTATCCAATAATATGTCTACCACGAAGCATTCCAGTTTACTTCTAATACCCTCCAAGATTTCCCAGCAAGTTCCCATGACCGCAGAGTTCAGCCTCAAGACTTTCACACAGATCCTCGGCCATGGCAGTGAAAGAAGTGAACACGGTAGAGGCCATGGTGCCGCGCAGATTTGATCAGTCGGAAAGTTGATGACACTTTGGGAGAGGAATCTCAGAGGGTAATCTTACTGGTGCGTTTTACACAGGGAATTTTCGGGAATGATCCCAGTCATCACTAGTAATGTCATCATCCCAGCAACCCCCAGCAACCCATCCAAACCCTACGTTTAGCACCAGTAAGTAATGACACCCTGTAAAGACTGGGATGGAGAAAGCATCTGCCAACTGGTGCAAGATTTCGAAACCATCAGTAGGAATGAGATTAAATTGATTGAGCTGCCTCGAAACTTGATGGATCAGCCGAACATTGACATTGAAGAACGTGTGTCGTTCCTGCTTGAATTCTTGGCCATTGCTCTTCAACAATCTGGAGAGTTCGTCATGACACTGCAGATCATCATATAATATATATGTATATATGTATATATGTATATATGTATATATGTATATATGTATATATGTGTATATATGTATATATATGTATATATATATATATGTATATGTATATATGTATATGGGTAAACCGTGTTTCACCCCAGTGTTTTCAAGTATTCTATATGTGCACTTTTCAGAGATGTTGTGCACGTGTCAGAGATATTGTGCACGTGGCAGAGATGTTGTGCACGTTTCAGAGATGCTGTGCACGTGTCAGAGATGTTGTGCACGTTTCCCAGCAGTTGTGCACGTTTCACAGAAGTTGTGCACGTTTCACAAGCGCCCTAATAACGTTTGTGTTCAACTGTATACACACTGAGCGCATTCTAATCAGCAAAAGAATTGGGGTGACCAAACACGTTCTCCCGTTGTATATATATATATCTATATCTATATAGATGTATGTATACATACATATGATATTATAGATGATATCATGTATGTATACATGATATTATATATGATATTATGTATGTACTACCTATAGATGTGCATAGCATGATACAATATATGTGTATATTCTTTATAATCTTATACAGATACAGTTCACCATGCTGGATTTCCCTCAGGTGGGTGAAAATGAGACCAGCTCTGGGTTGCTTGGGCGGCAGGAATCGGCTCCAAACGCTATGTGTTGGTTATTCAAGTGGTTTACCCTAGGGTAAGCTAACGTAGATGTGGAAAGCATAGGGTTTTTGTAGGAACATCATCTACAAATCTTTGATTTTCCACATCTATGTTGGTTTACCCTGGGGCAACTTACAACTGGGTTCCCCTTCCTGTACCGTGAAAGATGTATTGAAAAACACGTCAGCAGATCAGGAGGAAAATTCTCTGGGATCGGAATATCATTTTCCCATGGGTTTTCCCAATGGTCATTTGGAGTTCATTAAAAAACATATATATATATATATGGACAATCCACCATTTTCAGGCAGTTTCTCCACCATTTTCAGGCAGTTTCAGACATGTTTTACCCAGATCATCGGTGCAGGGGGATGAATAAAACGGCAACTTCCCACGTGTTTGGATGATCGTAGACCCACCTTAAATGGCGATACATTGAAGCTGTTCTATCTTTTTGCGGGCTACTTGATATACATGTATATATATATATATATGGGATGCGTTGAAGACATATAATCCAGGATGGCGATAGTACCAACTGTTGAAATCGAAAAAAAAAACCTGACTTAACAGGCTGGTTAGATCCACATTAGGTGAGAACAATGCAGCCACTTATTTGCTCCTTTTGATATAGCTGCAATAAAAAAACATACAATAAAATCCATACACATCATAAAACCACTAGTAGCTGTTTAGCATTACCCTCTCTGGTAGTTTGTTACAGTTTGCTATTGATTTTATGGCCCATAGGAAATAGTTGATTTACCGACCTTAAAGATGGTGATTTTCCAGTTCGCTATGCAAACGTTTACCAGAGGGTAAACTGGTTGGTATTTTGGCCAGTCATTTTAGGCTCGGGCTGCGGCTGAGGATGGCGTCAAGCTCCACCGAAAGTGAGACGACCAAGACTACCTCAGAGACCTGGAGATCTTGGGCGTTGCCTGACGATATCCAACAGGCAGTTCCCAACGTTTGCGGAATCTAATTATTGGGCACATGGTTTTTTCCCCCCAATTCTTTTTTCTGGTTGATGAGAGTTTGTTGTTTTTTTCAAAGGTGTTCAAGCATATTTGGGATGTTCATCCCGGCATTCCAGGTTCAACTTGGGAATCAGCCAATGAACAGAAAGATATGGACAACTCAGTGGATTTCCATGGAGGGATTGGATTGTTTACCCTCTGGTAAACGTTTACATAGCCAGCTATGGAAAATCACCATTTTCTAGCTGGGAAAATCCACTATTTCGACTGGGTCATTTTCAATAGCTATGTTAAATTACCAGAGGGTATTTTGTTGATTTATCCGATGAACAGTCAAGCTTTGTAGAATCTATTTCCGATGAATGGCATATTATGGCATATTCATAAAAATGGGGCCTCTCTCAGGTTGCAGATGATGATTTTGTTCCTGGTCATGGTGATGTGGAACACCGCCACTTGACAGACTTGACAGACTTGACAGCGAGCGTTTGGGTTTTCGATGTTGGGGACATGGGGTTCACAGAGGGTAGCCTCTGGTCAACGTTTACATAACGAACGAACATTTCACCATTTTTCATGGGAAAATTCAGGAACTCAATGGTGATTTTAACCATAGTTATGTATAGTTATGTAACAAATTACCAGAGGGAAGGTTGATTTGTTCACTTAGCAACGCAATTGCAATCTTGGCGGCTGACAGTTTGATTCTCCCGTCAGCGGCAATAGCTTTTTTTTAGGCAGAAAGCTCGTTTTTTTTCAGATCAGATCAGCAGTGTCATTGTGGTAAGTCACAGGACATTGCTAAACGCATGGAATCATTATCTACCCTCTGGTAAACTAACGTAACTATGGAAAATCACCATTTTTAATGGGTAAATCCATTATAAATGGCCATTTTCAATAGCTATGTTAGTTTACCAGAGGGTACTTGAAAGAATAAGAGTAAGCCACTTAAAGCGCATACTGTGGGAACCCCCAATCATAAATCTATCATTTGGGGATGGTTTAGACGACCATTTATATTGATTTGGGGATGGTTTATTATTGGGTTTACCACATTACTGACAAATGGCATCCCTCGAATATTAATATAACCCCCATATGTGCCATCTGCCCCCAAAAAGAGACGCAATATGATCCAAGACTGAACCATGGTTTCTAGCGGGGTATTTGGTATTTGAGGGACGGTATTTCTAGGGAGTGGAAATTTTCCATCACAACTAAGTGCTAAAAGTCAACCAAAGATACCATACTGACACTTTCAGTACAACCAGACTAAAGCTCATCTACACCCACCCTAGCCACTTCCCAAGTGGTTCATTCACCACACGAGGACAACATGGCACTGCCTGCTGTCTATGCCGAGATTGCTCGGCGCTTCCACACCACTCCAGGCAGTGGACACGTCAAAACAGAGTCGGTCCAAACAGGTTTTAAACACTAAACCGTTTAAACACGTTTAGAGCCATGACCCCCAAAACTTTCCAACACGTTTAAACGTTCAAACATGTGGGGCTGTCTGAACATGTCCCAAATGAATCCAAATGAGTGATTTGAGTAAAAAGAATGGGTGAGCGAGAAAGAAGCAGCACGGTGATATCACTAGCATTCACTAGCAGCAGATTTCTTAGTTTTTGATTCTGCAAGTGCGCAGATCTCATGTGGTTGGGTCCACAATCTCTTGTCCAAACAAATTCATGAGGGTCCCCTACTACCCCGGATTGGTTTAAATCAACCCTAGGCCCAACCCTGCCTCAAAACGTTTGTTTAATATGATTATCATGGGCCGTTGAAAAAGGAATCGCCAATGTGTTTTTTTTTCCTGTTTCCGATTGTTCGTGATATTTTAAAATATTTCATGACAGATCCTCATGATGTTCTCAGTTTTTATACAGGTGACCTGACTTGAACCCATGTGAGAGCAGTATTTCTTGTTACCCATTTGCTGTCACTGCTCTGGGATATACCCCAGGTTGATATGCCGGGTTTATTAGCCACTTGGTATCAGTCACATGTATCCACTTTTCATTTCGGCCCTAGTTGAAATGATGACAACTGGGGTTGTGACCACCAATCGGTCAAACCAATTTCTGGAACTATCTTTACATCCATATATTTCCCACATATTGTTCATATTCCCAACCCCTACATATATCCTATCCAAATGTGAAAACATCCTCAGGTGTATCCTATCTATAGCCCATTCTAAATTTAGTGCGTTGATTTACCTATGATTGCTGATTTTCCATACCAACATCCCTATCATATCCTATCCAAATGTATAGATCACAGAATTGGATGATGGGAAAATTTACAGGAAAGCCCTATATTTGATGGTAAAACCTGGTTTCCTGTAGATTTTCCCTTAAACCAATCCATTGAATAGAAAAACCTATAGATCTTCAGGTGGGCTCAGCAACCTGGGCCTGGTACGTGGCATCTTCGAGTCCATCTTCGCCTTACCCAGCGGTTTTTTGGCGGATCGCCTGCCACGGCCGCAGCTGATCTTCATCGGCGCCGCCATCTGGGGTGCTGGACTCGTGGGCTGCGCCTTCTCCCCGGAGATCCCCGGGATGGGATGGGGAGTTAACAGTTAAGAAGTGAACAAAAACCGGGGAAATGTAGGAAAATGATCTTGAAACATGGTGGAAACATAGGGTTTTTTCACTTTTGAATCATGAAAAACTGGTGAAACGTGGGGAAATGCGGGGAAATCATCATGTAAAATGATGAAGTATGGGGATCTAACCATGAAAAATGATGAAACATAGGGATTGAAACAACATTTTGGGTGGATCTTATTTGGAGGATCATCCCACGAATCGCAAGTGTTTTTTTTTTTAATCCTGGTGATCATAAGTCCCCGATGCGTGGATGAACTAACTAGAACATTCTTATCATATGGGTGTGTCTGAAAATAGTGTACCCCTACACCCAATGGTTTTGCTGATCATTATCCCTATTAAATGGCTATAATTGGGAATATACCCTATTTTCAGACAAACCCATATCTTACCATTATGATTAAGAGAGTAAGTGGGATGACATGACCATTAAACATGTTGATTGAAGCAAGCAAATGCTGATTTATCATGTTTTTTTAATGATCAAAACTGGTGGTTTCACATGGGTTTCAAAAAGGCAAAATGATGGTGGAGATGGACGGGTCAAATGGCATGAACAATAGGGAGCTAACCATCCCAAGAAAAAGGATTGAAACATGAAAAAAAAACATCGGGAACGAACTATCCAAGACGTGGATTGAATCAGCAATCATGCGAGTTTTTAGCAGCAACATAATGGGTATACAACGGGGGAGATGATGGATATAATGGGATAGAATTATCATCAACATGATTTAGGGACAGCTTTGAATATTTTCTGATTGGTTCATGAAAACAACAAAACTGTATGAGTATCATTATCATAAAATGATCAACCTTTCACACAAAATGATAAATTAACAGATTAACATTGTCATTTATCATAAAATGACATCATTATTTGTTTGACAATTAACATTTATCAACATTTATCATGAAATGATCATGTTAATCAACATACCTGATAAATATTAACATTATCATTAACATCATCATAACTTGGACAACGTCAACGTCTTTCACAAAATGATTTCTATGACCAAGGCCAACAAACCGGTCCGGGAGTTTTCCATCCTAAAGGGATGATGCCACTAGAGTTAGCAATAGATAACTTTATCCAATGATAACAAAGATCTAAGATTCATATTGGCATTGAAAATCACTCAGATTTTCATAGTGGCTGTGAAAATCATGATGATGATGATGATGATGATACAATGATACCATCAAGAATTAGAAATATAATCTGTATATATAATAGATTAATCAGAGATAGATTCTGTATCTGTTTCCATCCCCAGTCAATCATGATCCGACTGTTTTGGAGTAGCGTAGAAAGCCTGCTAGATGCATTCCACGGATCGGTAAGTAGCACCCCAGTTGACATTGCTCCGCTCCTTCGCCGATGACCTATTCACCTTCCGTAATCAAGCATGGCAGGCGGAAAAATCCTTGAACTCAATGGAGGTTGAAAAATGGGAAAATCATGGAACTAAATCTGGGGCTTTTGCCAGCAAACCATGTTTGATCACCAGAGGATAGTGAGCAGTAATCATAGTTGAACCAGACTATATATGGAACATCCCCAGTTCTATACGGGTTTGAAACTATGTTTCATATGTGCCATGGTCAAAACATGGTATATGGTTTGTGGTCATCCATTCCATATTGCGAATCCTTATAGTGGGTATATAAATCCCTATGGAAATAGGGGGATGACTATGAACCATCCCCTTTCATGGGAAAACACGCCATGTTTTGACCACGGTAGAATACGGTACATATGTTTAAAATTCAGTGGATTTATTTGAAAATAGGCGACCCCCAATTCCAATTGATTCTTTCACCCATTCAAATGGCAATATCAGCAGCAGTATATCCCATGTTCAGGCAAACCCAAATATCCATAGTTCTCTTCGTGATATCCCCATTTTTGATGGTACAAAAACACGAATTATCAAGCCATTATATTATCTATAATTTGATCTATATTAATAATATTAACCACAATATCCGAAAAAAACAAGTCAGTTTATCCCTATTGGTTCGTGTATCATGGGGATAAACATAAACATATATATATATATATTAATTGGGCTAAATATTGAAACAAACTAGGGATATTGTATTCGTTTATATATATATACATACAATACCTGACGTTGTCAAAGACTATCAGAGATTGGGATGGAAAACATCAACATAGCAGCAACCCACAGTTTTTAACTACGCTCTGGTAATTTAACATAACTATTGAACATTGTCATAGAAATAGTTGATTTACCCATCAGACATGGTAATTTTCCAGGTCATTTAGTTCGTTGATTTACCCATCAGACATGGTGATTTTCCAGTTCAAAAACTGTAAACGTTTACCCTCTGGTAATTTAACATAGCTATTGAAAATGGCCATTTATAGTGAGTTTTCCCATTAAAAATGGTGATTTTCCATAGCTACGTTAAATTACCAGAGGGTACCAGAGGGTATCCCTTTCGCATGGAGGACCTGGCCTGGATGACAGCCTTCCGTGCCATCAATGGCATTGGCCTGGGCATTGTGCAGCCGCTGCTCTTTAGCCTCGTGGCCGACAAGAGCAGCGTCTATGGCCGAGGGAAGGCTGGGCTGGATGGGATTTGCCATGGAAGGGATGGGGAAAGAGATTTGGCATGGGATTCATATATGGTGTATGTTTAAGTATATGTGGTTGTATATGATTTGATGCCTTTTTTGGTTGAAGTAAGATGTTACGGGACTTTAGATGGGGTTATTGAATTGTTGATTCTGTGTGATTTTATAGGATTTATCATGGGAGAAACAAGTTATTTATGCGGGAAGGGCACCATTTTCTGGAAATTTTTGTTGGTAGATACCGCACGAATCAAGATATGACCCAAAGGATCCACCATGAGCCACAAGTTATGCTACAGAAACAACATCACCAAAATGCAGATGACTGGCTGTGTTACCCTCTGGTTATTTAACATAGCCATGGAAAATCCCTTATAAATGGAGGTTTTAATGGGACAATCATCTATAAATGGGCCATTGTCCATGGCTATGTTAAATAACCAGAGGGTATCATTCTCGAAGTGAAAGACCCACTGATTCGTTGACTTTCCTTAAATGGCCACTGAAAATTATCGAGTCGCAGCTAGCTCAGCTAGTCGCCTCACAGGGCCAAAGGGCGCCACCTGGGATCCGGATGACCTTGCTGCCTCCACATCATTCGTGGTGGATGCCTTCCGAAACCCTGCAAGGTGGTGTCCTAGTTCATTGGCTCCATTGGTTTTTATAGCGCTCAACGATTTCATGATTTTATGATATTTTATGCATGGTAGATATCTCTATAGTCACCTGCGGTTGAAAACCAACACACACACACACATCCTTAGATTTATGGGAATGAACCCAACAAACGGATCCAGAATAGATACATAAACAATATCCAAAAAGATCTTACATAGAAATCCAATCGAAATCCATTCAAAAAATACAGATCGATGATGATGTGATACTACAGTTTCCGAATGGAATTTCTCCACATATTTTTCCAGATTTTTTTTATTTGAAAATCCCATATTTTTTTAAAAAAATCCCATGTTTTCTCCATCGATTTTTGTCACATTTTCATCCAGGCCTTTGGATTCCTCCTCTCCACGGGAAGTTTGGGGCAGACCGCCTTTACCGCCTTTGCCACCTCGGTAGCGCCCCTAGAGATCGGCCCCATTGCGGGCTGGCAGTTCGCCTTGACCCTTGGGGCATATCTTTGTGTCAGGCAAGGACAGATATGACACAGAAAATGATGGAAAAACAAGGAGATGAGCTTGATTTATGAAACTGAAGCATGGATGATTGATGGCTAAAACTGGAGAATTTGATTGCTTTCATGTTTTCATATCAATTTATAGTGATTAATATCCATGAATACATGGTGAATACCATTTAATACCAGCAGTGAAGAATTGAATCATTGATGATCCTTCCAATCATCTACACCTCCCTCAGGGCCAAAATGAAGAGATTCAATCCTAGACCATGACTTCGAATGAGGGGTACTGTGGATGGGCCAGCGAAATCCAAATCACCAGTTGAAAACGGTGGTTTATCCCATTATTTATAGGACTTCAACCATCCTTTTGGTGGTGCAGGATTTTGCAACCTGTCCACCGCATTTTGTTTTCGAAGCTTTTAGATTACCAAAAGTGCGGAAATCCAAGGCTTCGAGGCTGAACTGCATATGCTGATATCAACTAAGCTGCAATATGATGCCATTTCGGGGACCTCAATTGCAGGTACCCAGCATATACAAGGCCTATTTTTTAGGGCTATGAAAGGGAATATCCCCACAACATATGGCCTTATGTGGTGTCCTGAAATTCGCACACCACGCAGTTTCGGTGTTGGTTTGACATCTGGGGGATGTGTCAAGCATTGAGAGCCACCCCAACCAGAGTTTTTGAAATCTTCAGTATCCGCCACTTCCATATATTCCAATGGTGCGCTGTGTTGCTTTATGTCGTTTAATGTCTGGCTGATGGTTTCAGATGAATATATTATCTATATATATATATAATATATATATAAATAAATAAATATATACACAGACATACTGTTTTCCCTTTATTTAGGTTTCTTTTCATTTGGGATGACAACCAAAATTGCGAGCACATTTTTAGAGAGGTGGCTCCATCCAATATTTGATATTGAGAATCAAACAAAACCCAACAAAAGCTGGACTGGAGAACGAGGTAGGAACACCCCGTCTTCATTGCGTTACCAAATAAAGTCCCGGGCTCATATTAATCCATATTTCATGGAAGCATCCCGACATAATTTTCCCAGGAAACCCCAGGTATGAGGAAATCCAACTTATGCCATCAGAGGACAGTGATTGCGACACTGAGCGCATTGGTTGGCGTTCTGGTGGTTGCTTTTGTCACAGACGTCCCGCGCGACGAGCAGCGCAGCATGCTGCAGATCATCATTCAAGAGACTCCCAGGCGCCTTGTTCAGCGCGTAGCGGCGTAGCACGTGCACCGGAAGCGTTGAACTCACCGTTGAACGGCAAAGCGAAAGACTGGATCTTCGGGAAGCCAGTAAATTTGGGGTTGATAAGTCATCATCACCATCATCAGTTTCCGATGTTTTCCCACATCACTCCATATTTTCCCATAACTTCAACTTGCCTGAAATCATCTGAGGCTGAAAAAGATCCTGTGCATTCCGACCTTCATCGTGATCATCGGCCAGGGCGTCTTTGGAACAGCTCCATGGTTCGCCTTTAGCTACCTCACCATGTGGCTGGTGCCTTGGCCATGACGCTGGAAGCCGATCCCAGCTTTGAGATATCTTTCCATAGCTTTTATTTTTTCAGAAAAAACGCATCAGACATGGGGAGTTTAGCAACCAAATGGGATTTCATGAAGGGACATTTGGATTTCATCCAGAAAAAATCGGGGTTCGTCAACGAAAAGTGGCTTTCACCAAGAAAAAACGTGGTTTTTCGTGGGATATAATGGTGGTATAATATCGAATCAACATGGGGCTACAAACAAAAACAGCACCCGGATAGGATCGGGTTTTATTTTCCTTAATTACTGTACATAGGAGTTTCCTAAGATAGTGGCACATGTGGTACCCTGAAGGGTAATTCCCCTCCATGTTGGGAAATAGCCAAACAGAAAGAAAACTCCCAGCAATTCCACTTGGCTGAAAACACACCCATTTACTATATCGATCTCATGAGCAATTTCAAGATGATTATCTCATGAACAATTTCAATCTTGGGATTTTCTAGCCATGGAAAATCACCCACCAGGGCCCACTGGGGGTGCAGAGCCAGTAGCGGCCCCATATCCATATGGGGAGCCCGTCGAAGGAGCTGAACTGCTTCTCCAACACAGAGGCGGCTTCGATCTATGCATTCTTCAATGTGGGCACGGCCTTGTCCAGTGCTTTGGCGAATTCTGGCGATGGACGTTTAATTATATAGGAATAGTTAGGTATGCATAGTTGTTTGTAGCTAACAAAGTTAGTATAGTTAGGTATATCGTTAATTATAGTTCATATAGTTAATTAGATATACTGGTTAGATATACTAGTTAGATATATGCTAATAATTGATACTACGGGCGGTTGGTGGATGTATGGGTAGCTAACCATCATTTATGGGGATTATAACCTAAAATATGTATATAGGCTTAACTGCTGGCTGATTGGTTATCAAACAAGGAATTCATTATACTATCTGGTGATTGGGGATTATTACAACAGTTTGGTAATGGAATATCACCCTTTTTCATGGGTAATCTGTAAATTGGCCGTCTATACGTAGCATAAAAACATGGGTCATTCCCCTTTCAAAGGAGGCCATTTTTCTGCTGGCATCAACCATGGCGTTTTTTTTTTTTTCGCAGAAGTAGAGAGGCAAACAAAAATTGGGCAATCATCTATCTGGGTAAATTATAACGACCTCACTGTTCTCCCGAACCCTGGAATCTGGAATCATGGTTTTTATAGGGAAATCATCCCAAAATGGGCCCGGGAAACAGAAGAGGAGTGGCCGAACTATTCAGGTCAGTGAACTATGATAATTTACCCAGATCTATAAATTTGGACCTTTCCATTACCAAAGAAAGGCTGTTGAGTTGCGTTTTCGTCTTATCCATCATGTTTGTTGGATTCATAGACAGTGTTTATAGTTCATTTTTTCATTGCTTACAAGTCGAATTAATTGACACATGTTGAAACCTGAACACAAAAATCTTGATACATCTTGACCTACATAACCCAACCGACCCATCCGTGGATTGATTCAAGGAAAGAGTTACCGGAAACCATGGTGTTTTCTCCACATTTGCGCCATGTGTGTGTTTCCAATGAAATGGGATGGTCGTCATTTTAGGTGTCCCATTCATAGTGGGAGAACCATTTTCCATGGTTCCCGTGTGACTTGACACACACACACACAATCCCTGGAAAACCCGCCAAGCAATGGGTTTGTCTCAAAGAGAGGCTACTATCCAAAATCCAGTTGGATATCATCCTTTCCCCTAAAGTATGGCCATAGATTGGGGTGGGCTAGTTTTTTCCATTTTCAGACACACATAAAAAACGGAATATTGCTGGCTAAATATCACATAATATCCCCATTCAGTCTTGCCCAAACATCCAGCCTTGTTGTAAAAATAATATCCAGAAAACACCCACATTGGATATATTTGGTCATATATCCCATAAGATATACCCATTCAGCCCATTCATGTCACATTAAAGCCTTGTTTTTTCTGGTCAAGCTTATTTTGTCACCATTTTGGATGGCGCATTCCCTTGAATTTTCTATTCTTGATGACTAGATCATGTTTGATTCAGTTTACCACAATTCTTCATGGTCAATTCCCATCAGAATCCCTAATGTTCCTGGTGGCATCTCATTTTTTCCCACTTGTCGATGGTTAAACAGTTATCAGATCCCATTTTTTTCCGTTTTTTCATGGTGAAATGCCATGAATTTCGCCATTTTTCAGGCATGCTTGGTGGCATCTTGTTAGACTTCATCTTCCGAAGATTTCCTGATCATGGTCCACCAGCAATCTCACAGGCCTTGATGAAGGGAACAGCATGGAGACTGAAACGACTCCAAAAACATAGGGAACACTAATCCGGGAAAACCATGTTTTTTTTTGGAACTTTTAGGACGGATTTTTTTTGAGGTATAGGACCAATTTTGCCAATTTGGGATTCATGTGGATTCGAAGCATATGGCGATAGAATTGACTCAGATGGTTGATTTACCATGATTCCACGATCGATGTCTGCAGATGTCGGCCTTCTTGTCCATCCCGCTCTTTGCGCTGATTCTCTTCGGCCTTGGCTCCTTGGCCCCCGAAAACTGGGCTGGATTTTGCGAAGATTATCTTATATGATCTTGTATCAATGAGAATACCCTAAGGGACACCAATTTTTTTTGAAAACCAAGTGGATACTATATATATATAGTACAATTGTGTTTTTTCCGACAGCCACAGGTGAGACACCCACAAATAAGATCAAATAATATCGTAATGTTTGGGTATCAAAAAATTGTCAAACTAGGCATTTTTTGAGGTCTAACGCATAGCAGGTTGCCAACCAAACGACTCTCATTACATTGGTAAACGTCCTGGCGGGTGACAGATATAGTTATAGTTCTAACATGTTCTAACCACCTTAAATTGGGATATGACGTTTACAACCATGATTATATATCCTGCCGCTTATATCTGGAACTGCTTTCCCAAGATAGTCTTACAGTGTATTACAGACCCCTTCATTTCGCCCTCCGTAACTCTCCGTTGTTTGTCTCAAGGAGAGGGGGTCTCTGGAGACGGCGGTATCATGGCGGTTTACTGCGTAGTGTTCCTGGTCACGGGCACACTGATTCTTGGCGCGTTTCGTGAAGAGATTTTCTGATTTTCCCAATCACTTCCAGCTGCCTTTTAAGGGAACTGGTTGCTGGATTGAACTAGTGTGGGTAAAACAAGGCCATCAACAATCCCCCATAACCATTTTATAGGTGCTATATGTTTGCCATTCCCAGTCATGGCTGGTTTATGACCCTGTTTTTTTTTCTCTACCTGGGATGATGATCTTCATCCATTTTGGCGAAAAGCTCGGCTTTCGAGCAGATCCAAGGATTGCTTGGAATATGGTCATGAACAACAAGATGTTTAGCGATGTAGTGCCAAGCGCCTCCTGGCTTGAGATGGGGCACCACTTTTTGATACTTTTTGGCTTTTGGACCTGCAAATTGTTTTTTTTTTTTTCCGTGGGAACATCAAATAAGGATCACTGGTTGGTGTTTTGGACCATTTTTATTGTTCCATATATTGGGACTAATAATCCCAACTGACTTTCATATTTTTCAGAGGGGTGGCTCAACCACCAACCAGATCAACTATGAAATAGTGGTATGACTTCATACTTTCGGCAGGTGATGAGTCTGGTGAAAATGGGGAGTACCCCAAATCAAGGCAGCCATCTTCTTGGATAGCTGTCGTTGCACTGTTCATATCCCGGTACCACCCACCTGTTCCTGTGGTTTTATACTCCATTCGTTTGATTCAATCCGTTCGAACTAACCTTTGGTAAATTAACAGTTTGCTACGGAAACCACCATTTTTAGATATTTTTGGTAGGTTGATCTATAAATGGGTCATTTTCCATAGCAAACTATGAGTTTACGGATTGGTTTTGTTTAACGAAAGGTTACATCATCCTAATTCCGACGGATTACACGCCCGAATCCATTGGAGCGGTTGAAAAAATCGAATTCAAAAATGCTTCGAATGGGGCAACGAAGCCAAAATTGTTGCACAACGGTTCCGTCTGTTTTCATTATGGCAATTTATCCAGATCCACTTAATACCCTCCACTAAACTTATATGGAAAGTGCATGAGAATGCCTATTTACAGATGATTTAGCTATGACAAGCATCGCAAAATAGTTGGTTTGCCTGTCAGGAACCATTTTTGATCCAAAAATGCATGACTTGATATTGATATGAATTGTGATGATCCAATGTTCTAACCATTACTATTGCCCCGGCAATGCAGGAGAGCTACACCTACATCTACGCTTTGGACAGGGCCATTGAAGGCACCCTAGGTGCTTTTGGACAGCCAGCCGTCGGCTGGCTCACTGATCCTTGACTTCATCGTCAATGGGCTAAAAACCCAAATCTCAGGATGTAACCATCACACAATGGGGCATAAAGAGGATTAAAGATGTATAAAGTGGAACTAATAAATGGATATAAATGGTTGGTTGGTGATGATTTTGGTGGTTATGTTATCCGTCAAATAGGGAATGTGTTTTTTTTCAGGTTTTTAGACCAATGTAAATGATCAAACCCACTCGGTGGTTTCAAACAATATCCAATCTTAGTTTCTTTAAACAACTAAGGTAGCCCTACATTTTCTGGTTGGTGGTTTGGAACATTTTTTATTTTTCCATATATTGGGAATTTCATCATCCCAACTGACGAACTCATATTTTTCAGAGGGGTGGCTCAACCACCAACCAGTATTTGTAGATGTATCATTAAATAGATCGGGTCCGTTTCTTTTTTTTGATGTTCTTCAGTGTACGACTGCTTGGTTTGTGGAAGATTTGACCTTCCAACTGCGATGTCATCTTGAGGAATCCTTGCAGGCTCCCTCCAGATCCTAAAACATCTTTGATACATGACAATACCCTCTGGTAATTTAACTATGGAAAACCACCATTGAGTTCCTGAATTGTCCCATGAAAAATGGTGGATCTTTCTATAGTTATGTCAACGTTGACCAGAGGGTATATCTGAAGATCCAATATGATATGACCACTACGATTTTCTAAAGTAACCCCATGTCCTTGTTCTTCAGATAAGTATTAAAGTGACCCCATGTCATATCCCATGGATAAAGTATATAGCCTCTTGTTCTTTAAAGTGACCCCATGTCCGTTCTTCGATCTTGTCGCTGAGTCACCGTTTTTCGCCGTCCAAGGATCGGATCTTTAAGTTCAATGCGGACAGCGCGAACAGAGGCGAATGTTCCCCTCCTGACGCCAATAGCTTAGCCAAAGGCCGCCGGGTGGCGACTGGTGAAACCTGCTTGGGTTGGCGACTGGGTCAGGTTCGGATCGATTTTGAGATCGTTTTTAGAGCCCTTTTTGGAAGCCAAAATTTGAAGCAGTTCCGAGTGGCAAAGCCTTTTATGAATATACTATAATATACTATTCTAACTCATACAGCTGATAAACCTGCACCATTTTCAAAGAAACCCACAAGTCCACAAGTTAAGATCTAACTCCTACTTGAGACAACCAGATTTTTTTGCGGGAGACCATGGGAAACCAGAAAAACATCGGCCGGTTGTGCCCACCACCGAAAGCCGCTAGGCATCTTCAGCGTTGCCGCGGTGGGCTTCAGTATCTGTTTCCTCTTTTACTGCGTAGCACACTGCACCTATCCCAAGGATCGGCGTAGAGTGTGGCTGACTCAAAAAGTTGAAGGCTGAGAAGCCGCTGCAAGGTGAATTCGGTGTCCAGCCACAGATCTGGCGAACGAATTTGGCAGGCCTTGTGACACCAGTTATCAGGTGATAACATTTGATGATACCATAATGATATCAACAAATGATATCATCAGATGATGTAGTGATATCATTTGGTGGTTTATTTTCAACTTTCTGTGATCATCGGGATCCAATCTAGGTTCCCTTATCATTTTGAACGCTCCGTTGTCAACGGGATCCGATCATGGACTCTCAGACGGGGCGAGGCCAGCCAGCAATCCTAGCCGTTGCGTCCGTGGCGCCTTTTGGTGTATAGCGAACTGGACACGCCAACGAAAGATCTGCTAGAAATGCAGAGAAATGCAAAGCGCGAGTCTGAGTGGTGGATTGAAAGATGAACTTGCTTTGTTTAAAGACATTTGAAGATTATATTTCTATTGACCTTCGCAGCGTTTCGTGGTTCAACCACCACCCAACAAGTTCGGTACCTGCGCTCGACCCCCTTGCAGAGTGCGCAAAGACTGCGAGGGCACGTCGAAACTGCGACCTTCCGCCTCCACCGTTGGAGAAAAACAAGGTGCTGAACCATGCTGAACCCTTAAACACTGGTTGGTGGTTTGGAACATTTTTTATTTTCCCATATATTGGGAAGAATAATCCCAACTGACTAATATTTTTCAGAGGGGTGGCTCAACCACCAACCAGAACATCTAAGGTACAACCGATCATTTTTGAGTGTACAATTAGTTCAACGAAGTTTTTGGAATATCCATAGTTAGATGGGTTTACAAATAAATTTAGAACCCCATTGGCACGAGCCTGTTGCTGATCCCAATGGCATGATGACCCTGCATGGGTGACGAAGGGCGAGACACCCCAGGATCCCAAATAGATAGAATTCTGTCTTTCCAAGGAGGTTGTAGACGATGTTTCCCGCAGAATTTCCAGGCTTCCCACTTTTCTTTCTATTTTGGATACACATTCCCCAGTTTTGTTGTTGGACTCCCAACTTTTGTCAGTTGAATCTCGGGTTTTGCCAGAAAACATGAAGTGTTTATTATTCAAAAGCCAACCTTTGTTGCTCTATCCCCAGATTTTTTCCGTTCAATCTCAAGGTATCATCCCAAGAATGAAAATTGTTTGTTTCCAGCTTAGAAAGATGATTTCAGATAATCATCATCCCCCAAACATGCCAAAGATTTCTGGCTTGGGAATTATTTGAAAAGCTCGCGACTGCTTTGATTTCATAGTAACATCTAGTAACTTTTGGTAAATCAGGAAAACACACATTTATAATGATATTCCATAATATTCCGATCGCCTTTTTGACTGGTCCACATAGGTAAGGTTTACGAAAGAATTGGGTAACGTGACCGAAAAAAAGGCCATGGGGATTTTCTCGATTTTCTCACTGCCTCGATCAGAAGTACATATTGCCTCCTAGTAAATCTGGGCATTATCATTACATACCCAGATGTGGGTTATATTTACCATTGTGATATACCATGATATACCTATATCAAAATATATTATAGATAATTAACCATAGCATTATAGAAAATTCCAGAAAAATATACCATCACAGAGTACCACTATGGTAAACTATAGGTATACCACAATCATATTACAACAATAATAAAATGAAATATCATTTTACTACTATACTAGTTCCATAAACGTACCATATCATGTGTACCATTATGATATAGATAGTAGTAAATGTACCATCATTTGATTCCAGAAAAATCAGACTTTATGGCAGATAATTTCATGGATATCACTATATCTACAATGATTATTTATAGTAAATTCTGCACTATAACGATGATTATTAGTAATCATGATAATAACAATATGGAATACCATATAATTATCATCATCATATTGTAGTAAAAAATCCATAGTTGTACCACACTAGATATGTGAATACCACTACGATATACTAGTGAATTACTAAATATACGACTATGATAGATAGATAGATTAGATAGATTAGATAGATTAGATAGATTAGATAGATTAGATAGATTAGATAGATTAGATAGATTAGATCGATTAGATAGATAGATAGATAGATAGATAGATAGGTAGGTAGGTAGGTAGGTAGGTAGGTAGGTAGATAGATAGATAGATAGATAGATAGACAGACAGACAGATAGATAGATAGATAGATAGATTAGATAGATGGATAGATGGATAGATGGATAGATGGATAGATAGATTAGATAGATAGATAGATAGATCGATCGATAGATAGATTAGAGAGACAGACAGACAGACAGACAGACAGATAGGTAGATAGATAGATAGATAGACAGATAGATAGATAGATGGATAGATAGATAGATAGATCGAAAGATAGATAGATCGATCGATAGATAGATAGATCGATCCATCGATAGATTAGATAGATAGATAGATAGATAGATAGATAGATAGATAGACAGACAGATAGAATAGATAGATAGATAGATAGATAGATAGATAGATAGATAGATAGATAGATAGCTAGATAGATAGATAAGATAGATAAGATAGATAAGATAGATAAGATAGATAAGATAGATAGATAGATAAGATAGATAGATAGATAAGATAGATAAGATAGATAAGATAGATAAGATAGATAAGATAGATAAGATAGATAAGATAGATAAGATAGATAAGATAGATAAGATAGATAAGATAGCTAAGATAGCTAAGATAGCTAAGATAGCTAAGATAGCTAAGATAGCTAAGATAGATAGATAGATAGATAGATAGATGGATAGATAGATAGATAGACAGACAGACAGACAGACAGACAGATAGATAGATAGATAGATAGATATAATCATATTAGTATACCACTTGGCAGCGAATTTATCTCATAATCCATACCACTTTGGTAAATATGGTGAACTGAGATATGCCACTTTAGTGAATGGTATAATTCATAGAGATATACCATTCTGAATTACTAGTGGATTACGAAATATACTGGGAGATATCACTTGGTGAATTTTCCTCATAACTCATACCACTAGGGATATACCATATGGAATACCATATAACTATCATTATTATATTGTAGTTATAATTCCATAGATGAATTATTCCATATACTACAACTGGATAGTTATACAATTATAACTATATACTGGATTACCATTATAATTGTATTTTTGATACTATAGTGTTACAATTGTAATATTCCAGAAAATAACTGGATATAGCATTCATTAACATCCATGAAACATAGTTATATAAATCTACGATAAACCATTGTTAAACCACTAAGGCAACTGAACGCTATCGACTGGGAGCCATCCACCGTTCTGGTGAATTCCAAATGGTCACTTTCCGAACGGCCTGCAAGGTCCAGATGCCGCGCTGGGCGCAACACACGTCCTGGAGCTCTTCAGTTCGGATGATGCGCAGCGGCGCAAGATGCAACCGGGGCCATGGTAAAAAAACAATGGTGCGACCAGGTACTTGTGAGAAAATATGGGTAATTCTCTGGATGAATTTTGTTGGAATCTTGGTTGTTAGAATATGGTTGATTTGAATGGAGATCAATGGTATTTGAATGGCAAGCATCAAACATGAAGATTCAACCAACAAGAGATGGTGGTATAGTGGGTGTGATAGAAAGGGGATATATATATATATATCTAATGTCTAATATACGATATATGATATATAAAATCTAATATCTAATATCTAATCTATCATTTATAATATATATATATATGTAATATTATATATGATAATGTATTATAGATAATATATATATATATATAAATATATATATATATATAAATATATCCGATGATGATACCAGAAATGTGTAGCCGCCCCAGATCGGTGACCACATTTGATGGATGGCTTATTTTTAGGGCGCATCTAAACCACCAACCGCTTAAAAGGGTAAATCTTAACTATTTATACAAACAAATATCCCCCAACAAGATAGACAACTATGTCCAGGATGGATATCTCCACAATTTCCAGATTTTCCGAAGTGTTTATCTTTTTGGGGGGTTGCCTTCGTGCAAAATCAGGCTATATAAACACATGTGAGAATGGATGTATATTCCCGACAGGGCAAACTTTTGATCGGAAGAATCAATGATTCAGCCATTGGGTCAAAACCCCCAAATGGTATAGATGCGTTCATAAAGGATCCAGTCAACATTGAGTGTTGGTTTCAGTTTATGGTGAGGCAATTGAACATCTTGGGGTTTCCTCAAGAATCGGTTCTAGCCAATAAATTTCTTCAGACATGGGAATAAAACCGGCAGAACATGGGGATACAACCGACAGAAAATGATGAAAACCACCATGAATAATGTTCCAAATTCTTCGCCTTGGCCTTGTGGCAAGGGGGCCCCTGTCAAATGCGAGGATTCTGAGCAGTAAAACAACCAAGCAATGTTGGGGCTTGCGGTCCAAAGGTAAAACATGGAAAAACAAGTAAGGTTTGACAGTTTGACTCATATATGCCTTGATATCATGTAAAATGTTATTTGTTAAACAACACACACACACATCACGTGATGGTATTGTTGCGATAGACGAAACTTCTCCGATGCAGCGTCTGTCATTGATCATATGACGGTTTCTTGAAATGCGAGATCCCCAAAAAACCGTCCTTTTTTTTCCGTAGATTTCAATACTGAAATAGTCGAATTTTGGATGATTTAGGGGTACCCTCTGGTTATTTAACATAGCCATGGAAAATTGCCCATTTATAGATGGTTTACCAATTAAAAATGGTGATTTTTCATGGCTATGTTAAATAACCAGAGGGTAATTTTGGATGATTTAGGGGTAGCTCCATTTTGGGACACCCAAAAATATGGATGGTGAGGGGATGATTTACCGGTCAACCTGGGTTGGTTCGCTGACAGCTGACGCGATAGAACCGGACCTCCGGGGACAGGATTTATGGGACAACGAGCATAAATTATGGGAAGATAACGCAAGGGAATATCATTTGGATAGACAATAGATAAGTAATACAAGTAATCAAACATGTGTGAGTTTGTCTATTTTTTTGGGGGGGACAACCGGACAACCCCATTCCATCCACTGGTCAATCACA